TGTAATGCTGCATGGACAGTGGTGAATTTTTCGCAGTGTATTCCATGCATCTGGGATTAGAATCTGTCACAGTGTGGTTTATTACAAGAATTGCACAGCAGACTCTTCATTGGAAGCAATAAATAAGATTTACTTTGATTTTCTTTTAGGATTATTCTTTGTTGAAATAAAGGGAAAAATGGGGATTTAGTCTATTAAAATATTTAATTTAAAAACATATAGTCACTTAAATTCCAAAACATGCATAAAAGAGGAGATCTTTTTCAAACTATGTTTTCATAGATATAATGAGTTGTTACATTTGCTGTTGTGTAAAGCGAACATCATGTTATGAAAACAGAGCCTTGAGGTTTTTTTAAAATTATATCATAAAATGTACCTAAGAGAGTGTGGACTTAATTTTAAGACTTTATAGTATACTTGTGTGTGTGAACAAAATGGACAATTTAAAATATATTTTGCAGTCATGTAATGTATTCTGATTTTCCACTTCTGAAATGCCTAACTGTTAGTGGTCATCCGTACATTTTACTCATTTTTATGCACAACAGTGTGAGGATTGAAATTTGGTAAGTTTCTATATAAATCCTTTTACAATGTTGCAGTTAATTCTAGCAGTTGTCTTGTGGCATTGGGCAAAGTGGGTATTAACAAAAAATTGTTCTGCAGTCCTTGCTGAGTAATGCAAGCAGGTATTCAGTTCCTGTCAATGAATTTATCAGGAATTACAGACAGACTAGAAATTGCTTCTCAAAGTGATTACACCATTTGTACTACCACATACTGATTTTACAGTAAAACTCTTGGCCACAAAAGTTGAGATGAGCACACAATTCATTTTACTGGGCACTGTTAAAAACAGCATTATCAAATCTTTCATGAAGTTTCTCTCATCATATACTGGACTGTCTCAAAGAAATAAAGCCTCACGTGCTTTCTTGACAGCAGATAATAAATTAACTGGTATTATTCAATTGGGGAGTTGAAAAATGCATTGAAAATAATGGGGCATAACATTCTAGGGTTAACATTTATTCATAGATGATTCAATTAAATAAAACAGGCATTAACTTCAAGGTCAGTCAGTAAAGTAATAAAATTGAATATTTTAATTGAATTGTAATTGCTTCCCGTTGATACATGCAAGTAAAGTAAAATAGATGTCAGCTCTGCAAATTATGGGTTCTTCCTCCTAATTAATTTCTTAATTCTGTGTAGTTATCCAGGGTTTGGGCCTAGTTGTGGGTTTATCCACCCATCCAGCTTTCTTCAGAACTGGTCACACTGAGGAAAAATCTGTATGATGTGATGAAATAACATGTAGTAAAGGTTTACAGTATATTCTTCTTCTGCTTCAATCTAAATCATTATGAGACTCTAAAGTAATCTATACCTTTCTTTAAGGAAAAAGAAATACCAAATAGTTAAAGTTAAGCTGGGTTCTATGATTTATGGTTATATATAAATATTGATAGTTCATTACATTGATGATAGAAACAGGATTGGTAATTACATCTGACTGATTATGAGAGCTTTCCTTGATTAAATGTATACCACTAGAGAATCGCAATTTGCAGGTGACTGGTTTTGAAGGTATTGTAAATTCATCTAGTTCCTAAGGCCTTTATTAAACCGTAGTTTATATCCACTCCCCATACAGATTTCATTGGAAAGGATCACTTCTAAATTGAATGAAACTGCAAAGGAAATACATATTTTTCCTAAGAAAAATTGAAGTTGTTAGATAAGAGGAAGCTATACTTAGAAACTGAAAGCGTGACAACATTGCATTTTTACAGATTTTAACACAGCCTTGGAATATATTGCAGGTTTAATCTTGTGTGCTTTCTACAGTATGGGTCTATTTGTAGATTGTGTACATACTACATTATCATTGTACGTTTCAAAATTATTGATTGATTATGATGGAATGAGGATCTGGTCCATAGGAAATATGTAGGCATCTGCTTATACCACATAAATATGGTGGTTGTGATCGTTATAATCTCCTTAGCTCCATGATCATTGTATAAATTTTACTTTCTGCATCGCTGTGGATATTGCTCAGCTCTGTCTGTAACATTGTTTCTCCTACTAGAGCACTTCATGGAAAATCAAAAACACTAAGAAAACAAAAGACAAATGCATTGTATAAACAAAATATGTGAAGGAATGGGGCAATAAAGTTTTATTACCACTTTTTCTGGAAAACCTGCACCAGTTACGGCTGTACCGCTTGTGAATAATGATTTCCTTCCAAAACAGTAGTGATAAAATCTTTATAACACCTAACCCTGTCATATATTCTATATTTGTAACATAATTGTGAACTATATCTTCTTGTCATAAATTCATGCATTTTGGATAGTACATGTATAGTTTCCTATTACTAAAATAATAATAAAGGATACAAATATGCAAAATGGACACAGTCTGCCAGCACAGGTGACCAGATCTAAAGTATCAAAATAAGCAGGCAAACCTAGACAAAAGGGGAAAAAAATGATAGTTAACATAAAAAATACAAACAAGCAGATACAGTATTTCGTTGATGAAAATTAAAAGAATGAATCAAAAATTTACAAATACTAAAAGAATTTGCAAATAAAGCATACAGAAATCTCTTCCTGTTCTATGGCTAAATAGCAGATAACTGAATCTCCAACCCAGATACAAATGCTTAAAAATAATGCACTGGTGGCCTGATCCTGTGCAACTGAAATCAGCGGGAGCCTTGGCATTGATTTCAATGGAACCAAGATTGTCTTGCGGTGCCAGATATAACCCCCAGAATAAAATTAAAATATTTTAAAATTATTCTCACAATAGCCTCAGTCATAATTGGATATCATCTTATCTGAAGATGCCGATTACATTATCAAATCTATACCAACATGAAGCTTCACTCTATTAATGACATACAGAAATTAATGACTTTTTCCATTTTAGCTATTAAGCAGTTTTAAAAGTACTTCCCTCAGGTTGTGAAAGAATTTGCAATGTGCTTCAATGAAATGTTTAAAATCTTCCTTAATGTTTTGAATCTAACTTATTTAAATTGTTTCAGCTTCATAGAATTTTAAATAAACTAAGTCCATTATCACCAAATTCGAATGTCAGGCAGTTTACTTGAAATTAGCAAAAACGTAATAATAATAATAATAAAAATAATAATTAATATATCTTACATGTATAGAGTGACTTTCATATTGAAAAGGAGGACTTGTGGCACCTTAGAGACTAACAAATTTATCTGAGCATAAGCTTTCATGAGCTACACGAAAGCTTATGCTCAGATAAATTTGTTAGTCTCTAAGGTGCCACAAGTCCTCCTTTTCTTTTTGCGGATACAGACAAACACGGCTGCTACTCTGAAACCTTTCATATTGAAGGATCCAAAAGTGCTTTACAAGCTATACTATAGATATTGCTTCATCCGCTCCTGAAATGCAGCCATCTCTGGTGGCAGAAACAATGTAGCCTAGGAAATAAGGGTGAATACTATGTCCAGTGAAAAATATTGGAATAATTTAGGTACAGTTGGCAGAATGTAACTATTCAGATGTGGTAATTTTGTCAGCATTCCTCCTCTTTCAAAAATCACCACTGGATTTTTATTAACTTCAAGTAGTTAGGACCTCTATTTTTTTTAAAGTTTCAGCTGAAAGATGACACTTCCAGTAGCATAGTGCCTCCTCAGAGCTAAGTGGGATATTTGTTTTGTATTGACTGAGAAGGAGAAAAGTTTCCTCATACAACAGGTTCTGAGGCGCGATTGGGCATGAAGTTTATTTTTTATCCAAATACTGACTAGCTCCAGTTGTGTGCTGTGCTCCCAAGAACGGACTATATCACAGCCTAAAATGATATCTCTGTGGACAAAACACAAAGGTAAAGAGCTAATACGGGAGAAAAGGCAGCCAGTTAAATGAATTCATTTACAAAAAGAAGGTCATCATCAATATTTACACCTCAATGAAAAAATAACTGTTCAGTCAAAATGAAAAATGGAAAACACACAAACGTCAGAAACACTTAAAAGAAAATTTAAAGATACAAAAAGAAATGCAGCAACAAAGGAATCCTCACCTTCCAAACTGAAGGGACACTGCAAGTATAAACCACTTTTATGCTGTGTGTGTGTGTGAGAGAGAGAGAGAGATACAGATACACATACTGTATGTGGCTTGTCATATGTAAGTCATACGTAAAAGAAAATAGTAGGCGTGCATTGGCAAATTTGTCACTTCTGAATAATGGGGGAACTATAGAGTTAGGTTTTTTTTATAGCAGCTCACTGTTACAAACACCAGAGTTAGAAACTGACCAGTCAACCACACACCTCATTTGAAACCAGAAGTGCACAATCAGGCAGCAGAATAGCCAAGACAAAAAAACAACAAAAAAAAAGCAAATATGTATAATATAATATATTTAATAAATATATATTAAAAGTAAACTACGAAAAAAAGGAGAAAGCAGCATTTTTCCTCTTCGTAGTAAAGTTTCAAAGCTGTAATAAGTCAGTGTTCAGTTGTAAACTTTTGAAAGAACATCCATAATGTTCAGAGTTACCAACCTTTCAGCGTTATGAATAACCTCCATTCTTGGGGTGTTTGTAACTCTGATGTTCTACTGTATCTACCAACATAAAACTTGCACAGACTGGTAGTATTTTATTACTATGAACCTGAGTTATCTATATTCCCTTGTGCTTGATGAAGTTTCTTAGAAATGAACTCATACAGTAAAACAATACATTTTCCAGTTGACACAGTGCAAAGGAAATGAACCGTATTTTTTACAAGCATGGAAACTGGTTGCCCAAAGAGAATAAGTGAGAGAATTCTAGCTCAGTACATTTACTTTAGGATCAAAATGATTTTAAATATACAGGAACTGACTTCCAAAGGACAATGTTACAAAAAAAAAGTCCACTTTGATGTCTAAATTACTTTCATTATTGTATTTGTTAAATATATTTTAATATATCTTGGCAGGTTTAGATCCAGATAAACATCTAGGAAAAACGTTGGATCAAATGGAGCCTTATCTTTTGGAGGTAAGTATCACTTAAAGCATGCTCAAAATATGCAGTGTTTCAAAAGAGAAGTTATATATATAGAAGCTCACTTAATAAAATTAATAAAACTTAATTCTAGAAACAGTTACTTTCAGAAACAAGGTGTTGGGTCAAAGTTTGTTTTACAGAAGACATAGACATACTTCATATGAGATTGGAACTCCTGTTAAAGTCAGTTGGCAAGAGGTGTCATATTGTATGTTTTGAAAAGTAAGGTAGAGGATAAGAACCCTCAGTATTAAGGGCAAACTGACTTTTAGGTAATTATGATGGCCTTAAATACCCAAAAGTAATGTTAAAGTGGCTGATCATGACAGGGACTGTCAGAATTAGATAAATATCAGCAGTACTGAGAAATAAAACATTTTGGAATTTGAAGGGGCAGCCATGCATTTGGGAATCTATATGGAGCAGTTTTGTGCTCTGAAGCAGATGTGATATGTGCACAACAGTAAAGATTAATTTTAAGTTAATCTAAGGGTTTTCTAGGGAGGTATGGGCTGGAAAACTCAAGAAGGAATAAGTGGTTGTTTCCTTTCCCATAGCATCAAGGGTGATGACTCCATCAAAAGTCATCAACTCTCTTAAGAATAAGAGTAAAGAGCATATATTGTAGTTAGAATATAGATGATTATCTGCAATTTTAAAAAAAAGTTTTCTAACTTTAATTAACAGGGATACTCTGTGCTAAGCATCCAAATATAGACAATATTTACCCTGACTCTTCATTTACAGGGAACTCTTTTCTCAGCATAGTCTCAGTAGCTTGTCTTGGCACTGAGATTATCTGAGAAAGAAGAATCTAGGCAGGAATCCTCCTGCCTATATGCTAGAACATTTTATTGGCTGTAGTAGCTTCCAAAGCCCGCTCCACTGAAAGGGGTCAGAGTGGAAAGACTGGAGCATGCACTTAGCCCCAGAAATATCACCCATATGCAGCCTTCCCAAATCCTCCCCACCATTTTTTGACCAGTTCAACTGTACCAGTTTTACTGTCGAAAGTTCCCCCAGACTTGGAATAGGGATGTAGTGGGAAGGATTTGTGCTGAAGTATATAATTAGTTTCTAGTGGAAAGGAACAGATTGTGTAATGTCCCCAAGAGCATTTGTGGGACTGTTTTCCCTACACAAACTAAAATTAGATAATCATTTGGCTGGATTTTCCATTCTCCTGAACATGAAGCACAACACTTAGATGTGGTGTTCACTGTTTTGAGGAACCAAAGATTGCACATCTGAACCTGGTTTTCTGTATTTAATTGTATGTCATGTGGAGTTGCGTGGCTTCAGAATGAAAGATGGATGCCACAACACAGATGCAAAGCCATTACCAAGATTACTTGTGGCCTTATACAGATGTTCAAACTTCTTTGTGACTTGAGTGTTTGTCAAGAAGGTTTTTCTTTAGGAATTATGGGAATAACTTTGCTGAATAGAATATCATCATAACCAACTATGTTTCTTGGTAGCTAAAATACACCACTAAGTTTAACAAAGAAATGATGCTGTACCAAAAAATGAAATAGAGAGCAAGAGCAACAAGTAACTGCAAGAAAAAAATGAAAGTCTTAGTGTACTGGAGTTCACATAGTATCAGTTATAAAACAGTGGGTCTAAGTGTGAATCATAGAATCACAGAATATCAGGGTTGGAAGGGACCTCAGGAGGTCATCTAGTCCAACCCCCCGCTCAAAGCAGGACCAATCCCCAATTAAATCATCCCAGCCAGGGCTTTGTCAAGCCTGACCTTAAAAACTTCTAAGGAAGGAGATTCTACCACCTCCCTAGGTAATGCATTCCAGTGTTTCACCACCCTCCTAGTGAAAAAGTTTTTCCTACTATCCAACCTAAACCTCCCCCACTGCAACTTGAGACCATTACTCCTTGTTCTGTCCTCTTCTACCACTGAGAATAGTCTAGAACCATCCTCTCTGGAACCACCTCTCAGGTAGTTGAAAGCAGCTATCAAATCCCCCCTCATTCTTCTCTTCCGCAGACTAAACAATCCCAGTTCCCTCAGCCTCTCCTCATAAGTCATGTGTTCCAGACTCCTAATCATTTTTGTTGCCCTTTGCTGGACTCTTTCCAATTTATCCACATCCTTCTTGTAGTGTGGGGCCCAAAACTGGACACAGTACTCCAGATGAGGCCTCACCAATGTCGAATAGAGGGGGACAATCACGTCCCTCGATCTGCTCGCTATGCCCCTACTTATACATCCCAAAATGCCATTGGCCGCCTTGGCAACAAGGGCACACTGCTGACTCATATCCAGCTTCTCGTCCACTGTCACCCCTAGGTCCTTTTCCGCAGAACTGCTGCCTAGCCATTTGGTCCCTAGTCTGTAGCTGTGCATGGGATTCTTCCATCCTAAGTGCTGGACCCTGTACTTATCCTTATTGAACCTCATCAGATTTCTTTTGGCCCAATCCTCCAATTTGTCTAGGTCCCTCTGTATCCTATCCCTGCCCTCCAGCGTATCTACCACTCCTCCCAGTTTAGTATCATCCGCAGATTTGCTGAGAGTGCAATCCACACCATCCTCCAGATCATTTATGAAGATATTGAACAAAACCGGCCCCAGGACCGACCCCTGGGGCACTCCACTTGACACCAGCTGCCAACTAGACATGGAGTCATTGATCACTACCCGTTGAGCCCGACAATCTAGCCAACGTATGCAGTGGGATGCCATAGAAACATGACCAGAATCTATAGCTACAATATTGTGTTTATAGCAGAACATTTTGCATCATGATAAAGTCATACAGGAACAGTTTAAATAGTGAATCACTGATGAGGTTCAACAAGGACAAGTGCAGAGTCCTGCACTTAGGACGGAAGAATCCCATGCACCGCTACAGACTTTGGACCGAATGGCTAGGCAGCAGTTCTGCAGAAAAGGACCTAGGGGTTACAGTGGACGAGAAGCTGGATATGAGTCAACAGTGTGCCCTTGTTGCCGAGAAGACAAATGGTATTTTGGGATGTATATGTAGGGGCATTGCTAGCAGATCGAGGGATGTGATCGTTCCCCTCTATTCGACATTGGTGAGGCCTCATCTGGAGTACTGTGTCCAGTTTTGGGCCCCACACTACAAGAAGGATGTGGATAAATTGGAAAGAGTCCAGCGGAGGGCAACAAAAATGATTAGGGGACTGGAACACATGACTTATGAGGAGAGGCTGAGGGAACTGGGATTGTTTAGTCTGCGGAAGAGAAGAATGAGGGGGGATTTGATAGCTGCTTTCAACTACCTGAGAGGTGGTTCCAGAGAGGATGGTTCTAGACTATTCTCAGTGGTAGAAGAGGACAGAACAAGGAGTAATGGTCTCAAGTTGCAGTGGGGGAGGTTTAGGTTGGATATTAGGAAAAACTTTTTCACTAGGAGGTTTTGGTGCAGCACTGGAATGCGTTACCTAGGGAGGTGGTGGAATCTCCTTCCTTTGAAGTTTTTAAGATCAGGCTTGACAAAGCCCTGGCTGGGATGATTTATTTGGGGATTGGTCCTGCTTTGAGCAAGGGGTTGGACTAGATGACCTCCTGAGGTCCCTTCCAACCCTGATATTCTATGATTCTATGAAGGTAGGGATCTGTGTAAGCCTCGAAAAGTGACATTGGTGAGGGTTAGAAATCTCTGTTTCCCTTCCACGGTTTCACTTTGTCATTTATGTGAAAGAAACTGTATAGATTGGGTACACTTAAAATGTGTTTTATCCCTTCTCTCATTGCTTTACTTCGCTTATTTATACTTGAACCTCTTCTGCCACTACTTTGCTCCATTGTCCCATTCTGGGACTGCCACCATACTTTACTACTATACGTCTCTGACTGCATAGTGCTGACAAGTGCACCAGAGGGGTGTGATTTATAAACCGCTCTAACATGCTGCAGTCTAACTGCCTCATCTAGACCCTGTTGGCACATTCTAAAAGGTACATAGCTCACATTAACGTAGTCCTGTTTCAAAGGTACTTTTTAAAGTGTGCCAGCAAGATCTACCCAGGGGTAGGGAAAAGTATGGCACGTTAATGTGCTTACAAATCCACACCTCTCTGGCGCGCTTTGCCAGCGCTGTGTAGATCAGCCCATACTTACAAGTAAAACGTTTATTCTAGTTTTAGAGTTATTAACGGCTCTGGTGACACTCCCCATTTTAACATGCGGGAATATCACTGGAAACTGTAATATCTTTAAAACTGGAATGAACTTTCTGTGTGTGCTCACTCTACATGGTAATCTGAACTCACCAGGATGAGTGACCAGGATGAGTTAGCTACGTGTGTGTAGTACACAGGATGCAGTGGAGATGGCTTGGGAATGGTAAATTCACTATGTTCATTATTTGGAAACTCTTTGGGGGCCAAAGGTAATGATATACAGTTATATGTAGTTTAAGGCCATAATAAACACTAAAGTGGTTTATTTTTTCCCACTGACTTCTGAAGTTCACTTAAAAACAATGACAGGTTTCAGAGTAACAGCCGTGTTAGTCTGTATTCGCAAAAAGAAAAGGAGTACTTGTGGCACCTTAGAGACTAACCAATTTATTTGAGCATGAGCTTTCGTGAGCTACAGCTCACTTCATCGGATGCGTACCGTGGAAACTGCAGCAGACTTTATATACACACAGAGAATATGAAACAATACCTCCTCCCACCCCACTGTCCTGCTGGTAATAGCTTATCTAAAGTGATCATCAGGTTGGGCAATTTCTAGCACAAATCCAGGTTTTCTCACCCTCCACCCCCCCACACAAATTCACTCTCCTGCTGGTGATAGCCCATCCAAAGTGACAACTCTTTACACAATGTGCATGATAATCAAGTTGGGCCATTTCCTGCACAAATCCAGGTTTTCTCACACACACCCCCACCCCCATACACACACAAACTCACTCTCCTGCTGGTAATAGCTCATCCAAACTGACCACTCTCCAAGTTTAAATCCAAGTTAAACCAGAACATCGGGGGGGGGG